TGATCTACAAAGGCCTCTTTATAATTATATTCACAGTAATTGGAATCATTTCAACGACGCAATAAGGAAACAAATATTAATTAAGTTTTAAATATCATTAAATAAATTCAGCCATTATACGCAGTTAAGTAACAAATATCCAATTATCTAAAACACTTTCACATTTTATATTAGAGGGCTGTACGTTTTGTCCGCGATTGTACATCGTCCTGGTGCCATACATTTACCAACGTTAATAGCCTTCCGCGACTTCGAATACGCGAACTGCATCTCGATTACCGATTTTCGACTGACGTTAGGCGCATTCGATGTAATTAACACTCGAAGAACTTCTCAAAAAACGTGCAACATCGAAGAAAGTTAGTCAAATTCCTTACCGACTTTCGTTACAGTTTAAATCTCAAATATGGACTTTCTAAAATACAAATCACCAATGTTTACTTTTTCTATATCTCAAGTGAGACCTTAGTCGATTATCGTACAATTTAAACAGTACAACGGAAGTCACAGCATCATTTTTGCCGAGTCAAATATGACTGTGTTTGAAACTCGACAATTACTTGACTACTAAGAGATTGTAAGTAGACGCAAATGGCATCCGAACACTGAACGGTAACTCTTTAACAAAAACACAATTCATCGAGGTACTACGTACTGACCCCAAGAATGAAATGATCTAACTGTTCGTTCCTCAATTTTAGAACCCAGCACACGTCGTGTCCCAACAAAAGGACCTATTATGTTGGTTACTATTGAATTTTCCAATAAGAATGGGATCAGAACTCTTTCTAGATTACTCATTCGGAAGCTGACGGTCGACAAAAACAACATTGTTGTGTTAGTACAGCCGTGCGTCATGCACTTATTCTTTATTCGATCTATTAAATTAAACTTAATTTAATATTGAAGTTGAATATATTTTTGCTTGATTTTTTTAAGCTTCTCCGTCGACTGACTCGACATAATAGTTAGGAAATGAATAGCTTTCAAGTTGTGCATAGTTGAACATTGGTACAAAAAAATGATCCTAGTTGAAATAGGCTTACTACAAAGAACAATAGATATCCTGTTACGAGAACACAATACCTATGAAGATGTGCAGCTTGGTCTTCAGTGTAGGTAAAAAGAAATTCCTATTGTGAACATTTGTGGTTTTGAACAAAAACAGTGTGGTCTGTCTGACTGACTAAAAATATATTCAGTTAAGACATTAGTATTTTTTTTTATTAAATGCAAATAGAAACCGCAACTTTACTAGTGTGAATTCGCTATTTTTATTTCGTATGTAAAATTTATGCAAAAAATTTAATAAACGCATACTGCTTGTTGATATGTATTTTTTTTTTCATACAGATTGAAAAAATCTATTAAGTTATTGTAAAACGAATCGAGATTTGTTTAATCAAATCTTATTTCTCTAAGTCTATCTTAATGGAAAGTGTCCTCTTAGGCAAATTTAATTAACAAATGCTTTTAATTCAAAGTTTCAGCATTAGTTCAATCTAGCACTTGTCTGTAACAGTTAGGCATGCCGATACAGTATAATTATTGTTAGACCGTGGCCATAACCGCGAGGGTAGGAAGTGAAGCGTACAACTATTAGATAACGGACAAACATTGGACAAATAACTGAAACCATACCGCAACATTGTATAGGAAATTTATACAACAGAAAAAAAAAAAACAATTTAGGATTTATATTAAAAAAAAAAAAAACTACAGGAGACCAAACGGCAGGAGACCAAATTAATGTAAAATCCAACAAGAACATTCGAAATCGGTTCATAATTTCATGATTGGCAACATATTTCATAACTTACAAAAAATATAAAATCTCAAACGCACACATAAAAACTAAAGTCAAGAACTTGCTCCTTTTTAAAATCGGTTTATCAATAGAAATAAAAATACACAAGATATTGACCTAGATTTACTGAATACACACACAAAAAATACATTCTAATAACGATTACAGATTTCTATCGATAGTAAAAGTTCAAGTTCAATGACACAGTGCAGTTTTGCCGTTCACAGATTTCTACAGTGAAAGACGATTACACTTACTTGTTTACTAGTCGAGTTATCTCATTCGAAATTATGCATGGACGAGTATATACAGTACGACATATACAGCAGGCGCCGCGCCGCGCCACGCAGCCGCCGCAAATTTTAAACTCCACAATAACCATTATCGTCTCATTATCTTCCTAGTCAGGTGGCTTAATAAAAGATTACTATGATTAATATTATAAATGAAAGTTTGTTTGTTACTTTACAGTTAACGTCTTAACTAATCTATATGAAATTTGGTACACAGGTACTGATTAGTATGGAGAAGGATTAGACTTTTTATTAAGTGTTTGTATGTTTGTTACTCATTTAGACTTAAACAGCTGAACGGATGAAATTTAGTGCGAGGATAGGGTATATTACTGCTACACTCGAACAATAATTACAGGCACAGGTAATTCTAAATATACGTTAATGTTTTAAATATCTCTTCCTCTTGAAAGACAAAGTATTTAGACCCTGATAATATAAAATATTTAGCTATGACATATTCCCATATCATAAATAATTAATTTAAAGTTATATAACAGATGATTTTATTCTCTTTTTTTATAAAAGGTTTTTTTTATTTATTATTTATTGACCACTTTACAAAAAATGTCTAGTACAAAAGACGAACTTAATGCTTAATAGCATTCTCTTCTAGTCAACCTTTGACAAAATATAAATGTAATTATGCGGTGAAAAATTGAAAATTATTTACAATGATTACAAAAATTGAAAATTGTTTACAACAATTTTCAATTTTTCACAATAAACAGTTAATTAATTATGTTTTAGGGTTAATTGTGTATTGCGCGTCAGAAAAGCAAACTTGTTCAATGGAATGTATTCAGACTACATTATTAAGTATATATTCAACTTATAATGGCAAACAAGCTGACGGTCCACCTAGTGGTAACGGTCGTCTATAGACACGAGCAGTACCATGGACATCACAAAGTGTATACTCCCCATGCGTCGCCATTCCTGAGGACTCAAGTGTTATTCCTCTGTACCTCTGAATTTACAGTAAATTCGCTGCCATATGCCACCCTTCAAACCGAAACACAGCCATGAAAACACAACTGCTTCACTGTAGAAACACGAATAGGACAGTGGTGCCCAAGCAAACGACTTTTGTACAAAATCTCCCTCTGGTATGTGGAATGTAAACAATTCTTATATATTAAAAAACAAACGATAACTGGAAGAGAATCTGATGTTCATAATTTCCAAACATTATTGCTGTGACGTTCGTAACGAGATCTGATTTTAGTGTTGGTTTCATAAATGTTAATTAGCAGATTATGTAGTTCCTGTATAAAAAATATACACATATTACTATATATATATATTTTATGCAGAAACATTAAAAGATACCAGTTACTTTTCTGCTTTATTAATAAATTTCACCTAACTGCTACCTACCTACTTGGCTTTGAAAAAATAAAACCTTCCAGCAAAAACAAGAAGCTGTCGTACTCATATTATCATAAATGCCTATAGCTCGAAGCTTTCTTAGTGCGATTTCTTCAAAGGTCGCATCATTATGTTCCTCATTTCTATTCATAGAAATGTATTTTCCACATCTTAACAATTGTGTAGAGCGTCGTTGTATGTTGATTGTTGTAATTATCAATGCTCATTGAGGAAATGATTTACGAGTAAGTTATTTACTTACTGACTCTAATTAGACACGTAACTAAGTCGTAAGCACTGATACTAAAATCTGTGTGTATTTTATATTTTCAAATCAAATCATATAACTACCCTCGAATATTATAAAACGTTTTAAAACATTATTTTTAGATTCGTCAATTTTATTTTGTTAAATAAAATAAATACAGTAATTAACTTATCAGATTTTAACTCAACCGGTCAATTTAAAATTTAAAATTGCGATTAAAATCCGTTAATCTAGATTTAAAATGCACAAGAAACGGACCACAGAAAAAATCCACTACATATTATATATAGAGGCACATATATTCTTTTACAAGTTTTTAATAATATAAAAACAAAACAAAATACATAAGACAACATCAGCAATTTTAATGCTTTCATCGAAATCATAGTTTAATAACATATGAAAAAAAAAACTGTAATAAAATGTAAAAACATGCGTCAATCACTGCAAAAATTCATCTATCAATCTAGAAATTGCTTTCATGCTCTAGTTACGAACCCGTCCTCGGTCCCGTCGCGATTTTCTTGTCGCATGGTTGCCGTTGCCGACAACTTCACACGTGGTTGTCCACGAAAATCTCCTCAAATCGACACTTTCCTCTAAAAACTTATTACATAATGTTACGATGGTAATTTGAATGAAATGTTACAATATGTGTGATAACGTAACATCCGCGACGCGTATTAGTCTACGCTGTTTGTATAATATATATGTAGATAGACATTTATTTGTATCTTCATCAAACATTTTGATCATTTAAAAACATTATTATTAAAATATTTAATATTCGTTTCAAATTACGCAACAGAAGGAAATACAATGTCTTAATTGAGTACAAGAGAAAGGTCCTGTCAAAGATGAATTTGCATAATTTTAAATGCAGATGGGTACACCCAAATAAACTCACGACGTCTGACATGGTTGAGATAGTTAACAAAAAAGCATAATAAGACCTGTGTCATTCACCTCGCTATAGGAAATCGATATTTACAACAATTATCTCTATTACATTATCACCATTTGCTAATGTTTTCTGCAGCCATAACTGAAATTAGAATGACAATAGATTGAACAACAGCGGGTTCCTGGTTTCTTTGACAAATTAGACGACATAAGATTAACTAGAGACGTTGTAATCTTACCATAAATAACACATAAGCTTTGTAAGCTAAATATGGATAAGAATATAAGTACAGACAATAGCCGTCTTTAAATTACGTGAGCCATATCTAAACAAGAAAATTGGGATGAAAGTACTTACCGCTTAGGCACGCTAATCCTCCGTTGACGGAACAGGTGATCCATTGTTTCTAATCTCTTTGTTTTACTACTTAACTCGGACTCAGACACAAATGAAGGAAATTACGGGCTTTCACTTGATTTCAAGCATTAGAGTTCCGTAGATGCAAATGGCACAGTTCAGTAGATGATGGCAGTTTAATTGCGCAGTGCGAACCTCTATAGATTTAAATAAATAGGTATTACTCACAATACTGAAATAATAAACTGGTAAATTCCATTAAAATTTTTTTTTGAAATTTAATACAATAAAGTCATGGTATGTTTCAAAGAGCACGAGGCAGAATATTTATTTTTACACGACTAGGGTGATAATTAGGTATATGTATATATCTTGATAGTAAATGGTTAATGGACACTATAATACATGAATACTTGTAACATCAAAGATACCTATAACATACACGTACCTAAAATATATTTTGAACATAACATAAATAACATGTGCAAGTGAGTTTATTTTTTTATTTATTATCTCTTGCCACCTCAACAGTTCAACAAATTATCATGTTTGGCATACATATCTAGTATTTAACAAAGAAAAGGATATAGGCGACATTTATCACAGTCAATCAATTTGAAAAATGAAATGTTAACGTTTACGATTCTATACATAGATTAGTCGTAGATGCATGTTTCCCAAATTTACTTTTTATATTTTAGATTCTATAAAATTAACAGAAATAATTTTATAGAACCTTAGTTTAGGAATATACGTTTTTAACGTTAACACTACAACTTTTACATGAACATATATCTAAATATATTAATAAAAAAATGTTTTAATCTCTACCTAATCGTTATGGAAATTTTATATGTAATCGATAAACGATACGGAATAATACTGAAAAGATATCTCAACTTGATACGATGATACTGTTGATAATATCTAACGCAAGTTTTGGAAGCGATTCATTGGGAGAAAGTGAAGGCAGCCCGACGGCGATGCGACGCCCGCTCTCCGGCGTGCATCTGAGTTTAACATTAACACCGGCTCATATACAAGTTTATAGTCATTTAATCCGCAAATTTATACACATCTCGCCTCTTCGCTATTGTTAAATGAACTCGAATACTTTCACTTACTTAACGTGTAAATAAGTACGAACATATTCTATTCTTCACCGGGAAATTCGGGTGAAATATATAAACTTTGTTATCGTTAATGTGAATTTTGAAAAACTATATTTTTTCATTGAAACCTAAAACACTAAAACTTATTTTACCATTAGTTAATTATTTTATAAAAAATAGTTTACCTGTATAAAAACCTGCTTTAATAAAAAAAAAGTAAATATTATTTCGCTCCGCAAAAAAAAAACCGAAACTTTTTCGTGTTAAAACTAATGTGGTCTCGTGTTAAATTTGTCACGCGAGCATTTTTTTAGAATCGTTGGGATTAATTAACTCCATTGATCGTGAAAATAATTATTGACTTAAAATGTGCGAAGATGTCACTGAATATATTTAAATAAAAAACAGTTATTGTCTAGGGCTAAAGAAAATTACTTATAGAAAATGGGCATACAGCCTACCAGTTGAAAAGCGTTAAACCGTAGCCTAAAGATATTTAGGAGGGTATTTTTAGTAATAGCGCCTCTTTACTAGTCACCCTATCAGGTTCATTACCATACAATCTTCATGAAAAACATTATTCTTAGTGAAAACCTCATAATGGACCAACTTCATATTCATCTATCATCATTCACTGGTACTTCACCAGCTTAAAACAATAGCACAGATAAGAATAAACATTTCATTTTCACACAGTAAAAAATATTGTGGACTTCATAGAATACAATGACCAATGAATTCTATTCCTGAGGACTAAGGTATTTCAATAAATTGACGGTCAAAATAAAAAGGAATCTTCTTATTATATACTTGTAGAGATGGATACTATATTAAACACCGACCGTAACATACAAGACTTTTTAATTGAACATCTTGATTTATGAAAGGAATTAGTAAAATTTTGTTAATGTGAATTAAAGATAATATAGGTCGTACTAGCTCGTTGAATTAATTTTAATAACATTTTATATTTATTTATATACTAATTAAGAACATTAGATAAGTTTTACGATATACACCGTTGGTATGCCTACGCTATAGGTAAAAATCTCTCATTTTACACTTATTTTATTTTAAAGCAGATGGCCTCTATTATATAGATTAATAAAAGCTATGAATAGGTTTGTGAAATAGCAATAAAAGTAAGCCTATAATAAGTAATTGAGTAGTAATAAATAATAATACGTCGAGTCTTATTAACAAATATCAATAATAATAAAGAAGAGGTGGACTCTAGTGGAATCTACAGATACTTTGTAAATTGGGTAGCTTTTTGTTTTATGACGAATAAATAATAATAAACTCATTTAATAAATTTAGATTTATTTTTTTTATTAAATAATACCTTCCACGATGCAAATTCCAAGTTCGGCTACAATATATTTGTAAATTCCACTTCCAAATCCGTTCTTTACTGTATACCTACCACTACTACCTTTGTATAAAGTTTTGGACGCTAGATTCTGCTGTATACGCTACTCAAAACATTCATCTTCAGAGAATAAGATTCCAACTGTATTTACAATTTCTTTGTGAAATGTGAATGGTCCTTTATTTAGATTCGTACTTATGCAATTCACCATTTTGTTTTCGTTTTTATATAAAAAAAAATAATAATAAATTTTTAGATACTAGGTATTTCACATACATTATTACACAGTGAATATAAATGAACTAAACTACAGGTTCTCATAATTAAATGAATACCTACCTAACCTAACCAATCACCCAATTTTATGATCTACGTAATACTACGCGCCCTTTAAAACACCCACATGACTTTATTATTATAAAAAAAAAGAAATAAATTCCTAAAATAATAACAATATACTATTATACTTTTATCCTGTGAGTAACGAGATCACTAAATGTATATAATTAATTCGGATAAATTATGAAGTTAAAAAATACCGTCACGCGCGCGCTTTCTACAAGTTGCGGATATTTGCTGCGGAGCGGCGTGAGAGAACGTGCAACCGCGCGGCCATATGGCGAAGTACTAGCTCCTAACGACTCTTCATTTGAAGAGTTGAAAGCCGGAGTTGCCTTTCAGTCATATTCCATCCCACTATATCTGAATTCCCGAAGAGATTTTGCGTAAATAAAAAAAATCTAAGTAGAGCTTTTAGCTTTGTTTAATTTTCTCGTTTAAGAATAAATGAAGTCTTGCATTTGGCTTTCAACTAAGTCAAATTAGGGAAATTTTTTTCTCATTGCGCAGTCACAGACAAAATTAAAATGCAGTAGTGGGCCTGGATTGTCGATAGAAACAAGAACTTGACTTCTTTAAGGACAGAACTTTTTTAAATAGGTCGAGCTAGAATACCTAGAGGTATTCTAACAAGTTTGTGTATCCATGTTTGCTGTCTGGTTTCTCTTAATACATAAATTATATCCTAACTTGAGGATTATCAAATTTATGATATTTTAATATTTCCATCATAAGTTGAAAAGTATCCGGCATAAAAAATATAAATGGTAGTTGAAGCGCTGTAGTATATGGAAAAACGAACAAAATAACACCATAAAGGTTTGTTAAAAGTACTTTCAAGCTGTTTGATTAATACCGACAGAAAACAAAGAAGAAAACTTAAAGGTAGGTAAATATATTTTCTTTTGAAAATTGAAGACAGATGAGTTCACTAACAGCCAACATTTAATATTGGATTGTCACTTAAAAATAAGAGATAATGAGATATTAAGGCATTCGCTGTTACAATGTAATTTGAGACATCAATGGTTTATTCTTTATATTCATGAATACTTACAGGCAATTATTATCGTATAGTTTTTTCTTTTTTTTTAACATTTATATCGATTCACGTTGAAAATTTATTATTACATCTATAAATACAAGGGACAAACAAATGTATTAAAAGATATTGGATTTTGGATATTTCTTGTGATCTAATGAACCGTATGAACTGTTTGGTCCAGGCATAGAATGGGTCACACTTTCTTTTCATATGGTCTCGTAAAAGGCGACTAAGAGAATATAATGGTCGAGTGATGGGTAGCAGCGTTCCTTTTATCATGAAAGTTTAACTGTGGTTGCCAACCTATTACCAAGCATGACAACTATTGGTAAAACCTCTTAAGTTCAGCAGTATACAGATGGCTGATATGAAGAATAAACGGAGACATTTAGTTATTTTGTTTGATTTGTGAAGTGTGCTTAAATTGAGAATTTCTGTAGGAAAAAAACAAGCCATATCTACTAAATACTGGTATTGTAATATGAAAAAGAATAAAAGACACAAATCATGGAACGATAAATCTTATCTACACACATACACGCACAATAAAATTTTTATAAAAAATAATATTTTATAATTATGTAAACACGCACATACTTAAAAATATTATTTATTAGAGATATATTATGCGATATTTTCACCAACTCTAAAACATTATTAACCTACTTCAAAAAAAGAATGTTTTCTATTCGATTGTATTTGTTTTATGTTTGTTACCTCAGAACTACATCATTTATGGCTTTATAAATTTATATTTTTTTAATTGAAAGGTTATACTTGTCACAATGGTTCCATAGAATTTCCCATAAAATCGATTCAGTAATTTAATTTTTAAATCGAAATCTTTCCACGACTGAAGTAGGTGTTTTTTTTTTTAACAAAATCTACTTGTGATAAATCTCTTCGCAGTCGTTACGACTCCCGTGTCGATTCCACATTCATTTGTCACGAATGTGGTCGTGATTTTTTGTGGAATCAAATTTTAAATTAAAATTGATATTTTGGTCAATTGGTTTCTGGGTTATCGCGTGATACGATTGATATTCCATTATTGTGATTCACCCAAATGATCTATTTTTATAGATACTTTCTCTTACTAATAGGCATGCAGTAAAATTGCTTTTAATTTACATATAGCTAACATGGTTACTGACAAAAACTGGAAAAGGGGAACTAATTTTTAAGTGACTTGAAAAAGTAGGAGATTCACGTATAATTTTTGTATTTAATACCTTCGCCAATTCAGAACCGATTACGATTATTCTTTTTATAATCGACAGAGTTTATACGTTTTGTACATCCTATTGTACTCAGTATTAAACCTACCTTTTCAGCGAATTCTAAAAGAGAAAAATTTCAATTCGTTTGTATTTTTTTTTACAAACACTTATGATTAATAATTATTTTTGTAGCGATACAATTTATTTCTGTTAATTGATTCCAAATAAATTATAACAATTTAAAGTATCGTTTTTTAGTAGGTACTTCATACAACCTGTTTACAAACTTATCTATTTAATTTTAGACAGATATCTTAATTCTTCAGTATGTATACCTTTCATTCACAATTATGCCTGTATTACCCATCCTACTGGGTACTTCGTCTAGTTGTACCTAGCAATGATAATTTCTTTATTATAATTACCATCTAAGGAAGCTTGACAGTTTCCAAATTCACTCGCTTAGGATACACAATATACAGAACATAATAAAGTTTAATTAGTAGACGCTTTCTAAATAAGTTATTGCCATAATTTTTTTTTTCTGTAGTTCTGAATAGGACTATCGATCTAAGTAGATTTTATAATTTTTCACCAGCAGAAAGAAACGGGATTCGACGGATGTAGTATCCATTTCCTTAAATATACGTAGACTATATGGAAGGTAATGGCGTCATAAAATTTTAAGTTATATATATTTAGGTAAGTAAGACATAGTTCGATATTTACCTTTCATTGATCTGATTATTACGATTCTTTAGAAAAATAGAACAATTGGTCATTAACTGCATGATAGAGCAATTATCTAAGAACACCTTAAATGAAAAACTATATTTTAGTCTGTAGGTATAACAGGTACTTATGTTTATAAATATGAAGGTATAAAATTTTCATGGCTTCGTCTGACAATGCATTACCTCCAGAGGAAAAGGATTATTAATAATGACTTTCTTGGTCCACCTTCAAACATTTCCCGTGTAAACCATTGTTATTAGAATTTAGTGAACTTTTTTCTTTATTTCATCCTCCTCTGCATCATTTCATTAGTTTCTTTATTTACAAAAAAACCGTTACATCTCATTCCTGCTTTCTCTTATAACACAGGTGGCAAACAAGCATGCGGCTCACCTGATGGTACGTGACTACCGCCGCCTATGAGCACCCACAACACTAGAAACCGCAGGTGTACTACTGGCCTTTTAAAAAGGAATTATGGTCTTTTTTTGAAGGTTACAATGATGTATCGGTTCAGAAATACTGTTAGGAGTTAATTCCAAAGCGTGATTATGTGTAGAAGAAAATGTCTTAAAAACGCATGGTGGAAGACCGTCATTTATTCAGATGGTTGGAATGGAACTCGTTCATAATTTTGGGGTAATATACAATATGTTAACCAACATAATCTAATCTTTAAAACTAGTGTCTATATTCATTAATAGGGTCTCGATTTTTTTTTTAGAATAAAAATTAAAATACCAAAAACTAAAAAATAAATTAAAATTTTCAAAAAAACGAACAACCTGTATCTGTACTAATGATACTACATAATAATAGGTACGTACGTACTTTGTGCTGTTGTAGTTTTTTTTTTTCATCAAAACACTCCCTTGTGACTTTTATAATAAGTGTCAAAATTGACGTTGGTGTTTTAAGAACCTCAATGGTATATTGGCAAACATGTTCGTTTGCGTACACGAGGTCACGTATTCAATGCTCGGTCAGAGATTATTTAAGGAACAAATTTTCCTAAATTGTCTCGGCTCCCTATGTTCTGAATTTTCCCCCTACTATTTTATCTGTAAAAAAATCGAATTCATTTACGTGTATATTTATCGAGAATGCTCCACCAGTTTCATACAGTTAAATTATAATGTGTACCTACGATTATAAGAGTAAAGTGTATTTATTTCTTAATATTCAATGCAATTCAATCCTCATAATACAGGGTTGAGGTTTACTACCATACGATTAATGTGCTTAATTGAGGGCCATTTATTACTACGTACATACCTACTATTAGATTTTATTCATTTTTGGAAATATTTTATATCACCGAGGTGGCAAACAAGCGTATCTTATTGTATTATTATACAATAGATGAATATGGAAAGCTTGAATAGATAAGTACAATATGCATAGTGCCTCAGTAACGGTCAACTGCGATCGTTATTCATGTATCTACCCGCCTAACGATGCTTGTAATTATCTTCACCACCTGTATTAACTGGATGTTGCATGTACAAATAATACAACTTAATTTTATTTGACTATTATTTCCTCGTTAGATCACTGCCTTGAGCGCATCTAGAATCAAACTAAAAAAAGCGTAGTTTGATGTATACGATTAGCATTCTCGTAGGCACGTAGTAACCCCGATTTAGCGAAATAGAGACGAAATATTATGCTTTATATTTCCAACAAATTCCATCGCAAGATTCCTACTTTAACCTAACTTTACCTAAGGAATTTAAACAGCGCCTACTACAAATCTCGCCAGCTTCGAAATATTTCAATCACATATATACAATTTATTGGCACATAATTTTCATATTTTAATAATTTTTATATAAATTTGCAAATAAATAGTAAATTGCCAATCCTCAATTTTAAACCATTATTTTTAAAATGAAATTGTTTGTTTAATTTCACCTCTTATTATTATTATTTTTTTTTAAGATTACCATTAATTTTAATTTTATCAGGAGACTTTGTACAAAAGTCGTTTGCTTGGGTACCTCTGTCTCATTCGTGTTTATACCGTGAAGCAGTTGTGTTTGTATGGGTGTGTTTCGGTTTGAAGGGTGGGATGGTAATGAACTTACAGGGTACAGAGGAATAACACCTTAGTCCTCAGTAATGGCAACGCATGGGGAATATCATGGGCGAAACAATATTGTACAGTATGTAACAATAGTGTTTTGTTCATGGTACTCTGCTCATGTCTATAGGCGACGATTACCATTTTTCATCAGGTGGGCCGTCAGCTTGTTTGCCATTCTAAGTTGCATAAAAAAAAGTAAAAAAAAAGTGTTTAATTTTAACCTCATACTCGTAGTTGTAATAACTACATTATTTTCGTCGTGAGGTAACAATGCGTGCGCTATATAATATGAAGGATGATATTAGTATAATGCAATCTCCAAATAGAGAAAAATATTACTGCTACCAGGTTTTGGTTTCGACCACAACAGAATATCAATGTTTTGGTCTTTTGAGGGCAAAGCAATAAACTGAATTGTGGCCATTTTGTGTTATTGAATCATTTACATATGACAAAAAAAAACCTAGGTGTTGTGATCGATTGCACTTTATAGTGGACTGAACACATTAATGGGGTAAGCAAAAGGCTATGTTTTTCAATTGAACATTTTAAACGACTTTAAAAGTTTTTACCATTTGAGACGAAGATTATTTTGGCTCAAGTTCTACTGTTACTTCTTCTTGATTACGCTAACATATCCTATCTTGATACAACTGAAGATCTTTTTAACAAATTAGAGGCATTACAAAATTTGTGTATGCCTAAATACGACTATACTTATACCTCCTCATACCTCATATATAGTCTAGTTATTTTTGAAAATTTTCACAATATTGTACACCGCTCTATCCACTGACATTGATGCTCCTTTTCACTATGACTTTGCTGGAAGAGAACTATTTTAGAGTTAAGCCTTTGCACATTTGCTTACCTCTGTCATATTTGTATGTATTATTAATGTGTACAATAAAATATAAATAAATAAATACTAACATACTATGATATAATTTAGTTAGTACCAGTTCTAGAAAGAAGACAGTCAGATGGCGCTTAGAGTCGCCAAAGTCCAAAAGGGTCACCAATAAATTATCATCAATCAGGAGATCCGCAAAAGGCCATCAACTTCCTATATAGAATAAACCCTGTATAGAAGATAGAGAAATCAATGCCTTTTAAACTGTTATTCGAGATTCGATTAGTGTCTTTCTCTTCCCCGCTTATCCCCACGTTCATATCCTACGCCATTAAAACATGACTGTACAGTCATAAACATTCGCAAACGTAAATGATTAATCGATGATTAAAATGTTTAAAACATATTTCTAGAGGTACATAGTTAAACAAAATAATACAAAAGCATATGTATTTCAAAAGTGTATTCACATAGACTAGTAGGTAGACACAGTGCTGATACTAATACGACTAAAGTTTGAATTGTTTTTTTTTTATACAAATAGTTATTATTTAAACAATTTCTACTTTGAGTGCTGATATTGGTAGTCAGTTTTATATCTCTATACGCCTACCTTAATCATATACCCTATTTTAATTATTAAAAATGATAAACGAAACATCTTGTCTATAAGTTGTTTTAAGAACAGACGTTAATTAACCTTTACTTATAATAATCGTAATAAGTAAATAAATCGAATTTAGTACCTTATCAAATTAAGTATAAAATAATAAAGAACTACAGAATATTATCATCATCATGTTACCAGACTCCCTGACATGTTCGAGGTCGTCACTTCTAATGTGGGTACACTGTGTTTTACAATATAGGATCAACATATAAATACATGTTCTAGTGTCATCTACTCCCAAACTAAACAGAGCTTGTACAAAGCGTACTATACATAATTAAAATGCTATTTATAAATACATATTATACATAGTAGACACTTAAACCATTATAAATATACTCTAAAATACAAACTTTTATATATATTCTGTGGGGATCGAAACCAAAGCCACAGGAAGATATATAGTTCGATACCTATAGAAATATACTTATATACCTTCATTTTTCACTAGATATTCGTTTTTAAATAAAGCTAAAGTTGTTTATTTGTATGTATTTATATTTACCACCTATAGAAAAACATTATTTTTACTAATATTATTAATGTTAAAGTGTTTGTTTGTTTATTATCTCTCGGCGCTTTAACGAGCCAAATAATCGTTACGAAATTTGGCATACATGTACTATTTAGAATGAAGGATATATCCTACTTACTTTTTATTTCTGTCAATCAATGTATCCCAAGCTAATAATAAATGTGCCTATCACATGGTGCTTATCAAAATGTACCGAGTGAATGTGTATGTATTAAACATAATATTAATTTCAGTTACAATAGAAATAAACCTTCCACACTGCAGAGTAGGGATTTGTAATAACGGAATCAAGTAGCCTCAATGCTAGCATAGCATATACCTTGTCAGATAGATCTTCACACGGTCCCCCTGGAAACCATCGCAACAAAATTCTGTTGATTTGGTCACGCTGGGCCAATTGACCTGTTTTCATCCTCACCTATCATGTCTCACTGATATCTCGCTAGCATGTGTCAATAGAGCAAAAAGAGTTACCGTTCACATTTATTAAAAATAAAAACTATATGTTATACTTTAACTGTACTTACAAGTAAAACAAATGGTAAATATATTGATTCTTACAAATTATTTCAAAACACTCGATAAACAAAGTATGTTAACTATAGGTGAAATAATTGTATACAATTATTTGTACACATTTTACTAAACTACAATAAAAAAATGGTACGTATATATTTATATACTAGCCGTTTCCCGCAGCGTTGCCCACTTGTATGTAGTTCCCGTATATCGTTCCCATTGGAAACTTTCATGAATTGTATTATATATAATTGTATTATGTATTTAAATGATAATTACGGACATAATACCTCCATAAGGTCAATTTAACTGACCGGTTACTTTATAGTATTTTATATGTGATTTTTAAGATTGATATAACTTTTTTATTTATGAACCGATTGAAATAAACACTAAATGTTAAGTGAAATAAACCGCAATGTATTGGTGAAAGTCTAAAAATAATTGTTTTGGGTTCTATTGCGTTCATAAAGCCCCCCTACAATAGTTTTTCTTATGTATCTTCCATATACAGACAGCGACCAGTTGCGATTTTATTATATGTATTGATATACAAAGTATAAAGATAAAATGAAATACTATTGATCCATAAAACTGAATCACTTTCCACAAGGTGCATGAATCGAAATCCTATCTTATTGATAGAAATATGAAAAATTGTCTTGTTATTCAATTACGCCTAATGGTTAAACGAATTTAAATATCGTATTCAAAAATTTGTCCATTTGTTTATATAATTTATAAACTAATTTTGAATAGGATACTTTTATCTAGTTATACCAAAATTCTCATACTGAAATCTTGGTTGCTTTCTTAAATTCTAATAAGTTATTAGGCTATTCATAATAACATTTGTTTTACCCAATACCCAATTCCATGTAGGATAACAGATCTTATATGTTATATACTTAAGTAGTACCTATTTAAATAGACATAAAATTATAAAAAATGTTTTTATGACGAAATTATTTTACCCCACCCAAAATACATAAAAACCGTTGAATATGAGTATATGATGCCCAGTTGAGGCCCGGCGTCCCGCCGGAAACGTTTCCTGCTAGGTGGTTCTTCTCTAACAGGACGTGGAGGGTGATTGATACCAAGTTCTCCGTTGCCGTAGCAACCAATTAATGGAGTGTTTGGAAAAGCGGCTCGGAAATAATTCTGCTCCAACTCGTGTTTTTTATCGCGGCCCACACAAGATAATTTCAATGCCACACTATGCTCGAATCGTGGAATTTTCTTTGAAAACTGAAATATACAACAATTAAGTGTTACATACATATGTAATAGCCAAATAATTATTTAAATACATGTGATATTGTTACTTTAATTAATCGAATGATGATTGCAAAATTGATGTAAAGCTAGACATTGCAATAGCCTGAATATGCTTGTAGTTTTTTTCAATTAATGACAAATCATCCGTGCCCATGAGGGATCAGAAGCGAAGATAATGTCAAGTCACATGGCTCATTATTCCAAATTTACCAAGTACTATGATGGCCACCAAGAAAATTGCAATCTAAGAGTAATAAATATACTATTAATATCACTACTGTTAACAATTTACTAAACATGCCACTATAACTAATGATCCATTGAGTTATAACAGAAAATATTTTCATACATTGCAGATACAATAGCAAAACTATTATGGTGCATCTTTGTGGTGTCCATGGTACAGTTCAAGTTTCTGTAATGACTATAGTGGATATGCCTTTTTATAAAACATTATTATTCTCATTATAAAATCAGCAGTGTGAATTGCAGATATTTATTTAGTATTAATTTTTTACCGCGAGGCAAGATACTTCGACGTCATCACCTTAATAAGATATTTCAGATGAAGTCGAAATAATTGTTGGAAACAACACTAAGTTCTTAAAATTACTATTACACACATACACATATAGAATGTATTTCATACCTCATCAATATTTTTTTGTATTTTAGTCTTCTGCCAATCAGCTGCTTCTATAATAAGTGAATATACATCAAAATTGCATTTCTCTCCTTCACTATTAACAACACTCTTTGGTATTGAGAAAATTCCAATAGAAATCAAATTCTCACTAATAAAATCACTCCCTTCATTTACACCATCTATAATTAGTTTTATGTCATTTTTATCATATATACAATCCTCAACAATGCATCCACCTAATGCATAAGGTATATCAGGTTGGCTGAAACAATAATTAAACAAAATACATTTAGATTTTTCTTATGTTTATATAATACTATTACTACTATAATATAGTTTAATAATAAAACAGGACATAAATTATACACATTGCATGGCTTAATCATGAGGAAATTCAAAAAAACTTATATTAAATGTTTTATTGTATTACATTGGTGCAGTATCATTTCTTGTAGCAGTTTATGGAGAATGACAATGGTCAACAGTGACAAATGAAAGACTATTATGAAAAAATTAATAAAACAAATTAAAATAATATAACTTCTCTGAATCAATACTTAACCTCATATCACTGTAGCACTAATACTTTTTCAACTTATGCATAATCATGATGATGATGAAAATTTATTAATATAAATTTAGTAATACTTACGCCTCCTTAAAGTAATTTAAATAAAAGAAGTCTTCAACAGAATGCAAAAGATATTTTTCAGTGACATAAACAAGAACACCTTTGAAAATACGTTCCCTGGATAACTCTCTAACCTCATAATAGAAATCTTTTTCCATGTCACTGTTAGACTTGATATTAATTATATTGAACTTCACATCAGGTATAGCTGGGATAGAAATTCCACCAATGATGGACCGAGGCCTTCTGAACATGTCAAAGGTATATGTGTGTTTATATGTTGGTGAATGGTTGAGAGGAAAGTAACAGAGATAATCAGCTCTCACAGTAAACATGCAGTTCTTTGGACCGCAAACCTTTTGTTGCACGAAGTCTAATACTGTAAATGAGAAGAATAATATGAGTGAATATTAAGATTTTGCTTGACCATTTATGTAGCTTTATACAATTATATAATTAATCCATATAAAGTAGTATACTAACCCAATTAATTAATAAATAATATATTAACCCATAAAAGAGGGGGGAAGGGATCATAGTAATGCGGGCTACCAGTCCCATTGCTAGCAATATACCGTCAGGTCGACCTCCACACGGTTCCTCCTGCAAGCTATTGTGCTGAATTCCAGGTGTATTCATCACAATGGGCTAACTGACCTGCTTTTTTCATTATTCACCTATCATCCCTCACTGGTATCCCACCAGCGTATCCCGTTAGCACAGGCGGGGTTACCATTCCATTAATCATGACATGAATCACCTAGACAATATTAATACCAAATAGTCATATTATATTTTTACAATTGTTTTTTTTTTAAATTATACATAAAATTATTTCAATTATCACCCAGTTATAAATTTATAGTGTCAGATTTATTGAAATCGAAAGTTTGTGAAGTTTGATATACTTACCAACAAAAAAGACAATAATATTTAGAAAAACCTCTTTTTAAAGCTAAATATATCAAAAAATAAACTCTCCAATTTTTTTAAACAATAAACCATGTAATTTAATAGAAAATTGTTTTCAGGAGTGACAGCAAAAACAAACAAAATAGATTATTAGATTTATTATTATTATCTTTTAGATTTATTCAAATATTATACATATTTATAAAAAAAATACTCACAACTGTGTTCTTTCTCACAAGGAGGTTCGCATGGATGGGGTAGTAATGACATGCATTTTGAAGTAATATTAGTGCCTGATGTGTTAACAAATGCAAAAACCACTAAAGGCTCTGTTGAGAAATCAGAGGACTTCTTAAATCTTATGCCATTCTTTATAGAATTAAAATGTAGGTCCAACACAAAATCTGTGGCATTTAACTGTTCCTTATTTAGAGTATGTATAGCTGAATTCCAAGTGGAACATACATGTTTACACAACAACTTCTCTTGCCACTCTAGATTGCTAAGAATCTTCTTAACTATTATGTAGTTGTTGCACACTTTTTCCATTAAGTCAGTATCACATACCATTGGTTGGGTGACCCTTATTAGTTCTTTTTTCTCACAGTATGCTGCAATATGTTTGGGTAGTTGCAACTGCACACACCTTACCAGGTTCTCTTCAGTTAAAGTATCCTCACTGTCACTGCTGTTCATATTATCTTCATCTTGAACACCCCTCCCCATGTTCTCTTCAGTTGAAGTGCACTCACTGTCACTGCTGTTCATATTCTCTTCATCATTTACATGTTCACAATTAATCTCTGCCATGTCCTTAGATTTCAGTTACAATTTGATCATCCGCTGAACGCTGTATTGGATCTCCCTTAAGAAGGGCTAATATAAAACAGTACAAATAAATAAAGAAAAATATAAGATAATGTCCAATGTATATCATAACATCACGCATATGTTTCTTCAACTGGCCGCGATTGTGAATTTCAGCTGGATCGTATGCGCCCAGATTACCTCGTGGTATTGTAAAATATTCGAACGTCAACCATATAAACATAGGCAAGTTAAGCAAAAAAAGAATAACTTGTCCATGTAAAAGAAGTAAAAATGATACAAAAGAATGAGCGATATATTTGGGAAGCAACCAATAGTTCAACTTATCACAACACTCCTGAGCGTTTAAGTAATCACACTCCAAATCTGACAATGTTATTATGTAGTAAACTAAAAGAAATAATATAGCACCGCTATCGATTAAAGACAGAGAAAATAATAAAGTTTCAGCCAATATCATAACTACCTACTTCTATATCTTATATTATTAAACGTATTTGTCTGTTTACAATATAATAATTATAAATACCAATAATAAACGAAGTACAGTTTTTAACTACAATTAAATTAGGCAATGGGTAGATCAAATAGGATGGAAAATTATTTCACAAGCAAAAAAAATGCAATTGTATATATAAAATGACAACAGGAATAGATATATATATTCTAGCTAACTATAGGTAAATACCGTAAATACAAAACAGATTAGAGAAATTATGATGACCTACTAATTTGACAATATAACATTATTTTGACTGACGTTACATGACATAACTAACAGTCACAACAATGACATTTATGTTTCGATTTTGTACCAAACATTTCAGAATTACATTTGTACCTACTTTCGGATACAGTATAACCATTTGTGGCATATTGATGTCAATTTGCTAAATTTCGCTCCTAAATTTTGTCTGTGGCAGATCATGCTGATGATTTACAAGGGCCGGTGCTGGCAGGGAACCGGTCTAATTCCTTGCCATCAGATATGTTGAAGCATAAAGCAATCATATATGGTAAAATAATGTCTATATGATGATTTACAAAAGTGACAGAATTTGGCAGATTTAAAGGGTTCCAATAAAATTCACATTACCTAATTAGAATTTTCAATAGACATTTTTTTTAAGAGTAAAAATGGCAGGAATCCGCCACCAATGGTCACACTGTTCAGATAGACTACGACCATAGGCCATTCTGCCTCGTTTTTAATACTTGTTTTCTTCGAATATGTAAAAGTCGAAAATACCAGTGTATACTGATAGCGCGGGTGGGGTTACCATTCCATTATCACCCACTAAAAAAAAGTCGAGAATAAATAAAAATCTTGGTAAATTTGCTCAGCGTTGCCAGATTGGGCAATTTTGGGTAAAATATTGGAAAATGAAAATCTTAGATAAAAGTTAAGCGGTCTTGCAAATTTATTTGCATATATATTTTTTTAATACTGGGTAACAGTATTTATAACTCTGTACAAGTATATAAGGTGCATTATTACAATAAAATATATGACTGAAATGATTCTTATTGAATCCTTCCCAATGGGATAATCTTCGATTATGAAGTATATATTAAAGTGGATAACAGTTGATTTATTTGAATTAAAGTGTTCTTTATAGAAAAAATTATCAACAAATTTCATGTGTTTTGAGATTATACTTTTACATTTTGTAGGTACCCAAATTTTAAAAGCTTTTGATCGTTTAGAATATCCTGCAAACGCGCCTGGAATTGCTTTTGTTTCCAATTTGTTTCTGTTTTGTTTATTGGAGAAGCATGAACGCTTTTATTCCGAATATATTAAAATGATTTAAAGAAGGTTTTCTTCCGATCCATTTTTCAAACGGTGTCAAGTTGTTAATACTTTTATATATACTTCTATTCGAAATGTAGTTTGCTGTACATATAGCCTCACCCCATAGGGTCATCGGTGCTCCAGATTCTATCATTAAATATCTAGCTTTTTCTAAAAGGGTTCTATTCTTTCTTTCAGCTACACCATTTTGGTGAAGAGTATATGGAGCTGTTAATTGTCTTGTTATATAATTTTTCATTATTACAGTACTCTAAGCCATTATCTAACTGAAGACATTTTATTTTATTGCCAGTATAATTTTCCATCTCAGATTTAAATTCCACAAATTTGTCTAATGCTTCACTTTTCTTTTTGATACAATATATACGACTATACCGAGTAAGATCATCGATGAAAGTAACAAAGTATTTGTTACCTGCATAAATTTCGGACTTCATCGATCCACAAACATAAGTATGTATGATTTCTAATCGTTGTGTAGTACGAGGAACAGTATTAGCTTTAAATGGTGGTCTTTTTATTTTGACTTGAATACAAATTTCACAATCTCTAAGTTTCTCGTTTAAACTAAATTCTAAACCTTTTAGGCTTTTATTTCTTAATTCAAACTTCATGTCATTTTCATTCATATGACCAAGTTTTCTATGCCATTGATGAATTTTGCTTTGATATGTGTAATAACATGTTTGAGATTTATTTAGTTTGACATCAACATAGTATAAACCATCGGCTTTTCTATGTGCTTTCAAAATCACACTTTTATCTTTATGAGTAACTACAGCCTTATAATCTTACCAACATATAACAGATTCAGCGACAAATCTGGTACATATATGTCACATAGTTTAATTTCTCCTTTCTTTACAGATTCATTTAACTGTAAACATACTAAACCTTGTCCTTTTATTTCAGCAGTACCATGGTTAGACGCTAATTTTAACGTTATGCAAGTGTCTTCTAAATTTAAAAAAATATTCTTTCATAAGATGTGAAGTACATCCGCTATCTATAATCCATTCTTTTTTGTTTTCTTCCTTAGGTACATATTATAGTGTGTAGGCATTTCGAGCTCGAAATTTCGGAAAATATTTCATGGTAGGCCCTCAGGTTTGATCCTCATCTGTCACCACTCATAACGTGCAGACAGGTTACTATTCCATTATCGTCCATTAAGACCCTCCCTGTGCCATTATTATATGTTGAAGAAGCAACAATGACAGTGAAGTAAGAATGAAAGCAGGTTAATCTATCATGATAATTTTTTTTTACATCACGGAAATTAATTCTTCCACTAGAATTAACCATAGGTACTGGTTTTCAGAAGCAAACGCAACGAGGTCAACCTGATATTGCTAGAAAAGACTGTTTAAAATCACATTTCTTTTATTAACACACAATCTTTAAATATATAGTTATTACTGTTCTATAAAAGCAAATGAAACAAGTCTTGTGTCAAAAAAATTTAATTCAACATTCTTTCCTTACGCTAGTAAAGGCTTCATCCATATTTACAAGGCTTCAATATAGGGAAAGGTAAAAAAACTATCCAATTATACTACAGATCCGACTCCTGTGGTTATCACATCATAATATTTACCTATTATTGTATACTTGGCTCTGCTACAAGGCTTAGGCCTTTTAAATATTGCTTACGGATCTAGACTTAATAATTCTGAATGTTAAATGTATAATTATACATAGACTTGAATACAATGTGCGGTTAATAAAATATGTGTTACAACGAAGCCAATTACTACAATGTTATGTTAATACATACACAGTATATTGCAGAGAGCTAAAATTTATTATTCATTATAATTCAGCACAATCTGTCACCTCCAGACTCGGAATTTAACCTACTATAAACAAATATTAAAAACTCTCCTAAAATAATTACAACAATAACAAATATGCAGATATTACGCTATCTTTATCAAAACATTAATCTCACTTAGTATCTCATTAAATAGATTTAAACTAAATACTAAAACATGTAAATACCAAGCTATATAGTTAAATATACTAGGCCTGTGAATCGCGGGAGTGAACTTTATTGTTTCAATAACAATTCCTCTCATATAGGATGTTGTCTCACCTAAGTATAGACACGATACAAATTTGATATAGGTTTGTTAGATTTGAAATAAAAACAGTAGGTGGCTCACATTTGTGCCTAATATAAGTATATTCTGCACAAGATTATATTTGTCATTTTATACTGTCAAATACTAATTCGGTAGATACTTTTTGTTATACATAACTGATAAATAATTTTATATACCTATTGAAGACAACAACCCGATTTTTAAATTATGTAATATATATCACTCCCAGCATCAAATGAATTTGCCTAAATGAATAGGTACAATTTCGATAATGAGCAAATAGATTTTATAAATATTTAAATCTAGTAGGTTTCGTTAAATTTTAATTATTAATGGAATTATTAAATCAGTTTACATATTAAACTGAACGAAATTACTACGAATTAAGATTAGAAGCTCATTTTTTTTATTAAATATAGACAATCATATATGGACTGTATGTTAACTTATTTTACGCATTGGTATAATTACGTAGGAACCACACAGGTAATAAATAATTGATTTTGTGATATTTATAAAACTAAAACATTACTTTTATTTTAGATCGTTACACGACATTCAGCACTGTTTTATTCATTGTGTGAACACTACGTATACAGTTCACAGCAAGCAACTTGAACAAAACCATAGTCGTTGTAATTTCTGTAGTTGTCGCTTTTAGTGAAACTGTTACTGTGCATATTGTAGCATTAAAATTGTGCTCAAGTTACTTGCCGCTTTCTATAACCTTTATATTTTTTTCATATATTTTAATATCAACTTACACAAATAGCACCATCTATATGTGGTCATATTTTAAATAGATATCTAAAATACCACCACATATTCAACCACCAACATATTATACTCAGACCACAACTATGTAAACTGAATACTATTATAGTTTATTCTGTATTACAGAAAAAAATCAATGCCACTTTTTACTGAAATATTACATCATTATTTTTGTTATAATTATAAAATAATGGATCAAATTGGCACGTAGATACAAGACGATAACGCCTTACATTCGTTGTAGTAACTTGTCAAATGATTTAAAATAGTATATATAAATGCAAATAATGGCAATATGTTTTTGATTTACACATTTCGCTTTTTGATAAATCTATCCATGATAAATCTAATACAAACGTAAATTCATTAGTGAAAACACTCACACATAGTAATGAAAAGCTCGACAATATATTGTAAGCACACTTGAAATAATGGTATAAATAAATAAATTATAAATAATGTTTTCAAACAATTATGCAAGCAATCCCATACAATCTAATGGCAGAATATATAAGTATGAAACTAGGATAATAAAATCAAACGAGAACTTATTGATAATAGTGCACCTATCCTACACTTTAGATAATACATTGGAATGATACATTTTCAAGAATGTTTTGTTATTACAATATTTATAATAATTTATCTAGGTAAAGCAAACATTCAATAAATTAAGTCAAAGTATCTATTTTGCCCATGCTAATAATTACATTCATTTTAGTAATTACCATATTTAGTACAATATATATATATATATATAAAGATTGTAATATGGAAGGAGAGTGAACAAATAACAAGTGTCAATAAAAGATTGTTGCATAATTGTTTGTAAGCAAGGAGCCGGCTCCCTACATTACCTAAATGAATTTGTATCTAACATTGTTCCCAAGCTGGTCCCACCCATGACGATGGCTTGTGAATGTGCACCTCGCTCTCTGTTTCTTTTAACTAACTCCACATAATAAAACTAATATACACTGTGAAAAAAGAACATTGACTGAAACTCATTCGATAAAGAGAGCGACGCGTGCTTTTGTGCCAATATCGCACTTCAACAAGACTGGAATGTCACTTATTGATTTGGGAAATAACTATCAAGCAATTGTGATAGCATTACATGGTTTTAGTAACTGACACAACATCAATTCTATACATTTTATTAGCATTATCATTAACACGATGTGTACGTAACCAGGTGTCTCATAGATTGAAATTTGTGCCCCAACAAATGTTTTCTTATTATAATTTTCCCTAGGTTATAGTCATCGGGCGGAATGCAGAAATCCACAACTATGTTGAGTATTATTACTTTCAATATATACATAAGTAGATATGCTTATAAATAGTAAATAAAATGGATTTATATTATGTGAGCCAAGTATGTTACTGCGTACACGTGGTGGCGACGCATGTTAACACTCACTAACTATATGATTATATAACTATTTACCAACTAGCGACACAAATACTTCGTACCGACTATTAAGTACCGATTAATTATATAGACTAACGAGTCCTCACTTAATGTCAACACTTTGTGTTTCACATCAATAATAATTATATTTGTTCTCACAAAACGTAAGTCACCATCCTGGAAGAACATGTCACTGAAGAGACTAGCGTGTTAATCGAAAAGCCACTGAGTGGCTGTCGATGTAAAAAAAAAATATACTGTAAAATCTTTGCACCAACATTCACTTGTTATTCGAATTGGAAACATGCGAGCGGCTCGCCGCGCCTTTTCCCCGTAAATAGAAGTACGAATTCACTCACTCGGTACAAGGATAAACAGACATTATAGAGATCATAGGGTAAGCATCATTAGAGAGCGACGCCCTGGTAGAGCGGGGGATATCGCGGGTCAAGTGGCATCATATTCTATGCGGTCCCAGGAGTAGTGCTTATGCTGCGGACGCGGCGGTGGACGCGCGGCGAGTCCGCCTAGTAGTGGATCACATTGCGCCACAGGGCCACGGCCAAAACGGTTGGGGAACAACTCTGTGCTCATGTATTCGTATCCATCGCCGTCCACGTTCATGTTTGAGCTCGACTCCATCTCCAACTCTTTAGGGTCGAACTCATATGGCCGCTCCTCGAACATTTCGTTGCGAGTGTCCTCGTTCTGAAAAGATGGTAGCGACAAGTCATCCATGTACTCGAAGCTCGTCCTGGAATAGTCAAGAATATCGCCGTTCGTCAACGGGGTCATACTCATTCTCTCCGAAGGCTCCTCACCGATATCCATAGCGATCTGCGATTTTCCCTCAGTTCGTTCGTTGCTTTCACCCGATAATAGGCTACCGAGGAAATCGTGATCGCTTACGGAAGAATCCGTCACGCCGAAACCTGTATGAAAATCCCCGTTGGACAACAATTCGACACTCAGATCTGGCTCGATGTCGTTTGCTGTCGGATCTACGTCGCAATGATTAATGTTGTTTACTGCATGTAAGTCAGCATGGCAAAGAATTTCATTCTGAATATCATCCAGTTCCCTCTGTAATTCCTCCGCTGCAAGCGAGTCCCGTACGTGTGTAGAGTCGAGAACGTCGTTAGTTAGGACATCAGTCGGAGAGAACGTGTCAGGTCCGGTAATATATTCGCTATCAATTGGACGAGGTGTCGTAGCATCATCCACAGCCGAAGCCGGCAACTCACCATTCTCTACCAAAATTTCAAGGACATCATCCATTATTTGACTATCTTCAGTACAATCGTGCAATGGCGTATTCAAGGCTACTTGTGGCATGGGGGGCGGTGGCGGAGGTGGAGGAGGTGGCGGTACAGACACTGCACGCTCAGGCTCATAGTGCGCGGTCGGCAAAATTGCGATGGGTACCACCTTTACACCGTTGAGTATGTAAGCAGGATTGGCCGTTTTCTGAGGTGTAGAGTCAGCTGTTCCGTCACTGGTGGTAGCAGGCGAGGAGGCTACAGTAAAGAGACTTACAAGACGGTCGGGTGCTGCATCAGAGGAAGCGGCGATTACGTATCGCGAAGGTGCAGGCGTCGGCGCCGGAGGCTGTTGCAACGCGTCGCGCTGTGCTCGCAGTTGCGACATATAAATATGCGCTTGTAAAAGCCGTCGACTTTGGTCGCTGGCAGCAGCGCCCGCCGCTTCTCGGCGGACTGCTTCCATTTGTTGCCGCGATGCTTCTAATTTCCGCTCAAGATCTTCAATTTGTCGTCGTTGTGATTGAACTATATCCTCTGAATTATCCGATTCTATTTTGACATCCGGTGATGTAACAGACGCAATAGATGCGATAGAAGTAACAGATGCAGGTGAACGAGGTGGATCTTCTTGTTTTTCTAGGAATGGTCGCAGCCTGAGTATCAATTGTGGTTTAGGTCCAGATACGGGCAAATTGCGACGTTTGCATTCTGCACGAAGATCAGACACTTTCATGTCTTCGAAACGGGCAATAGGCATTAGAGGAGTGATCGGCGCTGGCGGCGGTGGAGGAGGTGGGGGTACTGTGTAGGCATCGGAAGAATCTGACGCAATAGATGCAGCAGGCGATGCTGGCATTAATTGAAGAAGCAACTGTTGTTGTTGTAATAGAAGTTCGTAAGGAGTCTCAACGGAGCCTGGCGGAGATGACGACTTTTGGGCATTTGGAGGACCTTTATATTCATGAAACTTAAATCGAGCCTTAGGTTGTTGTTTTTGCTTATTCTTTTTGCGATTTTTATCTTTGCCTGGTGCAGGGTGTTGTGGTGGTGAAGCAACACTTACAGGTGAGAGAGTGGATGGTGGCGAAGGTGAAGGTGATACTTCGTCCGGCGGTCCGCAGTACGAGGATGGATGTTGAGGACGTCCAGAAGCACCTTCGCTAGTAGCCTTAAATGCAAGAATACCGCTTTTGACTGCAGTCTCAATATTTTCTTCCGTATGTAATATATTTTTTTTAATGAGCTCAAGGGGTCCAGGTCGATGAGATAATTGATCATTCAGCTGGTCTGCAAGTCGTGCTTTCTTTAACATTCGCTGTTTTTCTGCTAGACTGGGATCCACATGGCTTTCCTGAAAATAAAACATAATGAAATCATTTAAAATACGTGACGCCCTTCTTACAAATTGCAGTGTCTCCTATAATGTGCATTTCCATAAATGTGCTTTATAAGTGTATTGTAACCATTATAATATTGTTTAATTTCGATTTAAAATAAAATCCACAACATTTGACAGCATGAAACTGAGACATACTTGTTCCAAAATGTGTCTTCGTTCAAGTTCTTGACGATCAGGTCGTCGTTGGATCTTCGCTTTCAGTAAATCTCCAGTTTTTGCTCTTTCCAACTGTTTGCATTGTTCAAAATATGCCGCAGGTGTTTTTAAAGCTGAAAGCGTAAAAAAGACGTATGAATAAGGCTAATAATATAAAATATAAAATTTTTAATAATAAATACTACAACAGGTATTGAAATCTTTCTCTATTCGAAATTTGGTGTAAAATAATCAATCTTTTAATATAATAACAATACATAAAATAAATAACTAGATCAAATTATATTATCTTTTACAGTCTTTTTTCTTAATGACCGGTTTCCAAAAAGACATGCCAGAATTGTTTACTACATATATCAACAAACAAGCAGTTTATATAAAGCTCTCGGAATTGCACAGGCACTTGTTCAATATTTAACATAATGTATGGGGTCGTGTTCAGAGATATCGGAAACAAACATTGTATGTTTGCTTTTAATGAATGTTTGGATTAACCCAGTAGTCAGTGGCCGGCTTATATACCTACAATAAATGTGACAACACATGTACAACATTAGTACAAAGTACGTACATATAAAATAATAGGCACATTCTGTCACATAATAAAAATAATATATAGAAATATATAAATTTAATTGTAACTCTAATATAGTTGGTATTATTTCATACTGTTCAGTTGGAAATCTCATTAGCATAGCGTAACATTCGAATCGTAAATAAAATTCTTTCACCCACGCGCGTCGCGACATTCGCCCAGCAGCGGGGCGACCGCCGGCGGCGTCCCACCACAACTCCGATACACAGATTTGTCTCACGCTAATTACCTCGTGTCATATTTATGAACACCTACCATTTAATTCATTCAATAATAATATAGTTATACTTACGGGGCATAATTCCTTGTGCCACTAGCTGTGTGATGGGTCGTCGCATCATCAGCTTTACTTTCAATGCTGTTGAAATAATAAACAATTATATTAGGATTATGCCATACACAATATTTAAAAGAAAAATTATCTGAGAGGTTTTAATAAAATCTATCATGCTAAAATAATAATTCTTAAAAATGTAGTCTGCCTGTATGATTGTTTCAACATCATGCAAAAATTGCTGTAATAAATTGGATGCGGTTTTCACGTTAGGATTCCTGAAGGTATAACTTAAAATTTGTTTTATCATGATTACACCATTTAGAATTGGTCTATTTCATTGGTTTTTCTGCTATTAAAATCCATGGACGAAATAATGAGTAAAAAGTTAGTATTTTATAAATACACGGTTGAAACGAAGAATTACTTCAACAATTTGTAAACTAAGTAAGTCATGCGTCTATCTCTGAATTAAAAAAAACTATTTATTTTAACAATTCAGAGATAGACACATGTCACACACTCGCTCGCTTTAAACTCTACTGAACATATCGTCCGAAAAGCAGTTTTTTTTGCAATCTTTTAATAACCATCCCGTCGTCTCATTCGGGATTCTGCCGTAAAGCAGTTGTATTGCATGGCTGTGAAGGTTTTCGGTTTGAAGGGTGGGATGTGGCAGTGAATTTACGGGGTACAGAAACATAACGCCTTAGTCCTCAGGAAGGGCAGAGTATTGGGGGTATCATGGAGGAAACAGTATTTATCTGTTATGTCCATAATACTTTTCATATCTATAGGTGACGGTTACCACTTTCTGTCAGGTGAATCGTCAGCTTGTTTGCCATTCTAAGTAGTATAAAAAATATTTTATGGTATATTTTTTTTTGTATATAGTGCCTAATTTAGGAGTGCAGTATTAAATCTATATCTGTAAGTAAATTGAAGAAGTAATTTAAATTATATGATCTTTGATAGCACAATATAACCCATAAATATTCAATAAATAAATTTGTTCACTAATATTTCTATGAAAGTCATAAATAATATAAACTCATGGCTGCTTTAATTAATTATCTTTTTTACTGGCCAAATACAATTGCTCCATAAACTGTAGACTGCCTTTTGCATCAACAATGCACACTGATTGAATAGTTAGTACAACATTGTAAGACATAATGCTATGACGCCAAGTGACGAACTTTGACGCACGATACCGAATAAAATGCGGGTCGACGTGATCGATACGTCGATCATTATTCGATTATATCGATAAGTTCGTAGCGTAGGCGAATAGCTCTATATTCTTGTTTGCGTGTAGACAAGCGGGGAACAGCGAGCGACGGGCGGACAACGCTGGCCTGAAGCCAACATAAATAAACACTGCACAAGGAAACTAGTGTTATGCCGCGACCGTATTACAGACGAAACATTCACTACCACTGGGCCGAATATTGTGGGTTACTGGGCGTATTCACTTCACTCGAATTTCGCGTCACTCCTGCCTATAGTGAGTAACTAGCATGTTGGAAAATCTACAAGAATAATTATTATTAAAAACATAAACGATTTCTTTATGAACAAAACTCGTTTGCCAAGAATATGACTAACAATGTTTTCAATTCACGCCCACATTTATTTATGACATATTTTGTATGAGAAAACTATACGACAATAAGTATCTAGATGTATATCTATTGATAGTGGAGGCTGAGTCGTTTCGAATAGACAGAAGATCATCGAATAGAGGCTACAAATTACAACGGAAAGTTTTACCATGTTATATTCATAAATTAGGCAATTGAAAACAAAAATAAAAAATACATTTCATATACATTGTTGATTGATGTAGAATGAAGGCGTGCTGACAAGGGCTAAGGAGTTGTTTATTAGCAATGCGTGTGCGTGCGCAGACAGCCGACATAACATGGCCGGAAGAGCGGACCGCACTAGCATTCTAATGCAAATATAATATTAAACATCCACTTGTGAACGCAAGACCCGGGACGTCCGTCGCTAAGAGCCAGTATTTTATGCTCTTATCACAGAAATTTTATAGTCTCAGGCGCAGTGAGAGTTGTGAATGTTTCTGTCAAAAATGAGTCAGTTTCCAGATCATTATCTATATTCTAATGAGGTAGACTCACTGAGAATGCTCTAGTTCACACGAAACTTATGCATAATTCAAAAGAATCAGTTTTGATGAGCCCAAACTAGAAATGAAGATGGATTTGATTGGATAACGTATTAGTGCTCTGATTTATTTAGATGTCTGTATGAAAATAGTCATTAGTACTTTGCAATTATATTTTCCGAGAAATGAGGCAGCTCTGTCCTCATTTCAAATTAATGGCTTATTTTTCTATTTGCGAGTTGGGCGACACGAGGAGTGCTACATCATGTAACACGTTTTTCTTCTAACTGTTACAGGGTCACCGCGTCAAAACGTTTTGTACGAAACTAACTAGTAGGTAAACACTTGATCTATTTTTTACCATTTATTAATTTCCATACTTCTATTTATGGAGCGTAATTGTTAAAATATCTTAAATTTAATTATGTCTTTTAATTTTTACATGTGGCGAGGCTACCCTGAAACCTTTTTGAAAAACCTCATATTACTATTCTTTTACCAATTGGGCATTCGCAGTAAATATTTTTTAAAATCCTTTCAAATAGCGCTATTTTTTTGATACTCTTGTACTATATCAGTATGTTGAAATCATAAAAGATAATTACATTCTTTGTGTTTGCCCATAGCCGGTTGTAGGGGGCTGTCGTCGACGACCACCTTCGGCGGCGACACCCTCGGCGAGCTGGGCGGCTCGCTGGCACCGCTGCCGCTCGCCTGACGTCCAGCCATCTCCTCCGCACCAGAACTGAGTACACATAACAATATAAATGTTATTGCATTAATATAAGATATATACTTTGTATTATCATAAATTTTATGTGAATCGCATTAACAGAATATCACCATCTCATGAACTGTAAAACTAACGAGTAATAAATTATACCTATCATACGCATAGATAACGAAGCACCAACTTCAGGAGTTTTGTACTTTCTCATACATGCATGCGGCAACGAAACATATTTGCCAATAGATTCGTTGCCATGCAATGCCACTTGTATATCTCACTGCTACTAAAATTAGCTCTCGCTAATTTACCTATTCTTGCATATAAGTATTTGCATGGTACAGTATAATTTGAAATGTTCATGGTATAGTTATATATCTTAAAGATTTGTAAAGATATTTAGATGTTTTTTATTCAAATGGTTGAACGATTAATAAATATATAAATTAGTAAATAAAAGGACCTGATTATATGAGAATTAATATATATTATTAAATCTTAATGCACACGAACAGAGCCGAAAATAAAAATTCAGGTAAACAGATATTGACCACAAATACAAAATTAAATATAAAAATTGTATAAACAAAGAAAATAATTTGTGATCTATAGAGACAAGAACATACGAGTAATATTACCTATAGTATTTGTATGTTCTTCAATGTATGTATCAAGACTTATTAGATACGATAAAATTTGGTCGTAATGTTAACAGTTTCTAATGTTCTGTGTTATTCATGGTATGCTTCATGTCTAAGGCGACTGAGAATTTTCCCTTTGCTCAGTCTCATACATTGCATTGGTAGTTTACCTTATTCCTTGTTTATTTAAATTTGATTTTGTTCCATTCAAATTATTCCATATAAACATACTTAAATTTTGACAAATTTAATACAGGACCATTTAGAGGCTAAACTCGTTAAATTAAAAACAATAATCAAAGTTGCCGAAGAAATTGCTTAACATTGGCGACCAATTTAATAATAATACCTGAAGGTGTCGTCCGAAGGTGTAGCTGGCGTGCGCGGCGGCGAAGCGGGCGAGGTAGGAGAAGCGGCGCGGCTGCGCTCTCGCCGGTGCTGCGGCTTGAACCACTCCGGGTATATGGCGCTCAGCGTCTCTACCAGGTCGTGATCCAGCGTAACGCGCCACGACGCTCGCTCCTCCGAGCCCTCCGAGCCGCTGCCTCCGCCGCACGATGAACGGCTTTCTGGTAAAAAAAATGATGTAAGCTTTCTTTTGTAAAATCTCTAATGAAATAATTATCAGCAAGATATGAAACTTAAGGACGTACATACAGATGCACTATTCAAATTATTAAACCTAAAGGTCGCCTTTGTATGATTATGTAGAAAATAATTTATCTTTTTTAGATAAAACTTTGATTTGAATTGGCAGAATTGTTCATACTTAATTATGATTAATAGATATTGATTAAATATGCAATAAGTAAATGAATTTACAATGTTTTTCATTGCGCTTGTTTTTCAACACGAGTTTTAGCGTCATGATCTAGCCTATTCTATTTACGGTAATATACAGAATGCGTGCTCAAATATGCTTAGTTTTGTATAAACGTGCTTGAATGTCAGATTAATACTACAATCTAATAGTTCAGCAAACCGGAAGTGCGTCCGCGACTGATCTGAATAGAGTGCCATAGATAAAAGAAGTTTGAAAATGGTGGGCGCGGATTGCAGTTAATAGAAATAGGCGAGGCAATCCTGCGTAGCGGTGATTGTTTACGTTCATAGGTACTGATTGTTTCGGGTCCTTGAACGTGTTTGCGTGCGAGCGCGAGCGCAAAAGCGTACGTTTGGCTCTTTGATGCATTGGAATTGAGGAATGCCACTGTGGCTTTACGATTATAGGAATTGAGTGTGAAAGATTTTTATTTACCTACACACAGACATGTTAGTAAATTTAAAATTCCAATAGTTTCATTTTCCTAAAATAAATATTTCATTTATTTTTCTAAAAAAGGAAGTGACATGTTCAATATTTAAAAACTAGAATTGTTAATATAGATATCAGATTTTTGTATGGAGCATACTAAAACTTTGTGATTATCTCAATTTAGAAGTTCTATTTCAGTTTAAAGGGGTTATATAGTGATAAAATTATTGAATAAAAAGTAGATACGCTATGAAGACATAACATCTCGATCCTTAGGAGTAACAACGCAAAAGCGGTATCATGACCGGCACAGAATACACATGCACATTAATAACATACTTGTAATAAATACTTGTAACGGTGTGACATACAATCAAATGACAAAACCAGACAGACAAACAACGAAATTGTAAGAAATCTATATTAAAGATTTTGGAAACTTATAAAGGTTACAGAATAATATGGAAAAATAACCTCATATAGTATGTTGAGAATATATTCTAAATATCGTATGAATGTTTTAAACAGTTTCCAGAGGCGAGGAAAGATGGTTGTATTACGTAATGTTTAAAACTCGCAATAAAGCTGAAAATACGAGGGGGAATAAATAAAACATCTGTCCGCTAACGTGAGTTATGCAATATAAAACTAAAAGTTAGGTAAACAAATGCAAACTTCAAAAACATAAAATATATTTTGTTATAAAAATTGCATCAACAGGAAAAGTAATATCTGATCTATAAATATAACTAGACAATAGATAATTTATTTCAAAACTTCGTCACATCTCGTCTCTGTCTCTTTGGATATTTACAAAACCCACCCCGGTTTTGGTTACATAAATACAAATTCCTAATAGTTCCTAATTATTTTCGACTAGTTTATTATTTATTACGTATGCGCGAATTTCAGTAGTACGAATTCAATGAAATAGACTAATTCTAGATGGCATACCAAAATAAAACATACAGTAGATTTTAAGTTAGACCTTTTTTTATACCACTGAGGTGACAAACAAGCATACGACCTACCTGATGGTAAGTGGTTACCGTGGCCTAGTTAGAGTTTCAGGATTGCCATATTGACTTTTCACAGTTGTGAAAAGAAAAGAAAATACAATTTGATGCAGTAGTTTTTGCGTGATGCAGATTGCAAATAACCTTGTCGATAAAGAAATAGATGACTTTCTCTAATAACAGTAATAACGTTTACCTGTATGTACGTAAGGGTCATAATAGTCTGGTGTTAGTAATAAATATACCACCGATACTCAACAGCGGATAATTTAATAAGACACGTGTGTTACGCATCTTTACGTCGGTATTACAGAATACATTTTTGTAAACAATCTGGCACACGTGCGTACCGCTGACTCATTACAGTTTGGTGCGAATTATGACGGTAAGTACATGTGGGCACATAAAGGCCATTGCCAATTGAAATTCTGCACACAGAGGTGGAAACCATTTGTAAGTATTAATAGTTCTAATGGACTGCAACTAGATGGTATAAGTAAGCACATGATTTTCGTAAAATATTTAATTGTTAATCTTTTGCAAACTCGTCTACTAATCGTATCATTTTACTATAGATGTATATTTTTATAGGTAATAAAAATTAGCGACCTGTACCAGCTTCGCAAGGTATTTTTGAAAGTAAAAAACGGCCCTTGTTACTCGCTGATAATGTAGTTTAAAATTAGTATTTTCTTAATTTATCCATTATAAACAATATATCAAATCTTTTTTGTAATATAGTTTACTACTGTCACATTGTTGTACAATATTCTAACAAATAAATTATTATTATTATTTAGATACAAAAAAATTTAATTAATAAATTACAATATTTTGTCTGTGAAACATCTAATTAATTTCTTGGGTACATAATGATAGTAACCGGATTATTTGTAAAATGTGTGTTATTTTCTTTTATACCACAAAAGTGGCAAACAAGAATTCAGTCCAAATGATGGTAAAAGATCACTGTAGCTTATGGACGCCTGTCACACTAATCATACAGAGAGTGTCCGTTTCGAGCCTTAAAAACTTAATACACCCTTTTCGAAAGATCACAACTGTAATCTCTAAGAACAATCTCTGTATGAGCTCATTTCACAGCCTAAGCGTTCGCAGGAGAAAACTCTTCTGAAACTGCACTATACGCGACCATTTAGGTTTTAGCGTGTGAGGATGAATTCCGATGGAGAGTGGTGCGATGATAAAAAGTGGCTGCGGGTATCATTTTGAACAATTCCTCAGAACACAATTCGTTATACAAGCGGTAAAACACACAAGGAGAGGCAAAGTCTCACCTTACACAAGGGCTCCATACCGTCTGTGAGCTTGGGATCGTCGACAATTTTTATAGCCCATCTTTGAAACGAGTCACGAGGACTATAATAATCGAGGAATGGGAGAGAATGCTATATAAAATAATTAAGTCAACGTTTTGTACCGAAATATTTTTTGCAAAATGGTAAAAAAAGAATAAATAAATAAGAAATGATTAAATTCTTCCGTTGCATAGTACAGACAACTGATTAATGGCACAAGCATAGGTGTTTCCTTAATGGCTATTAATATATCGTACCGCAAATGCTGTTTGAAATGAAAGTTTAGAATGCTGCTAGCATTCTAAAATTTTGCCTAAGAAAAACAGACTTACATCAGCTAATTTCGAAACTAGAATGGCCAAATTTAAAAAGCTTTCTATGATGAAAGATAATAATAATTTGAATCTTGCAGAGAAGGTGGATAAGTTTTTTATACTACTATTGGTAGCAAACAAGCATACGGCCCATCTGATAGTAAAAAAGTCCTCTTTGAGCACATCAGTATCAACACTATTGTACTTTTCACATTTATACTGTCATCAATTCACTGTCGCTGAAAAGACTAATGGATCATCTTCAACATCATGCGATCACTAATTATTTTAGTAAGACCTATTAAATAATTATATGCCGTATTCAGTGAAATTATATTCACTTTTACTGAAAACTCCATGTTCAAGAATATTTAATTTATACTTATACATTTTAGTTTTTTAATGGATGATAATGGGATGGTAACCGTCTGCGCTAACGGTAAAGCTGTAACGCTGGCGTGACTCTAGTAAAGGATGATAGGTGAGAATGGAAATGAAGCTCAGTTAGCCCATCGTTATGAATACACCTGAAATTCAGCACAATGGTTTCCAAGGGAGACCACGTGGAGGTCAACCTGACAGAGTATATTGCTAGTAATAGGACTGGTAGTCCACATTACTATCAATCCCTTTCCCCCCTATACTTTATGGTTATAAGAACTTAAGTGAATTTCAACTGAAATGATATGAAATGTTACATCCGAAAATATAATACTGATTATTGATTATATCAGTATTATATTATACTGGTTATGGATGGACTTATTATTTTTCTATCTATATATTTCCGTTTGGATTGAATATGGACTATGATGAATATGATTATCATCTCAGCCATTATCCATCCACTGCTGAACATAGGCCTTCCCCATAGACTGCCATAAAGAACGACCCTGAGCCACCTGCATCCACTGACTTCATGCTGATATGATGATGATGATTAATAAATTTAGTAGAATTGGACAGACATAACAGAAAAAAATATTTTAAATTGTAGAATTCATGAAATAAGATTTTTTATACCAGAGATAAAAGGCAAATAATATACATAAAAACAGAACAACGAATTGAATACCTAACCTACTTTTTGTAGTCGGTAAAAAAATAGGCATTCTAAATAAAGCTTGAATTACAGTGCCAACTCTGATTCACGGATGCTGTTTAGGTATTAATAATGTTAGATACCGCTTTTCATAACGCATTTCCCTGACTCCCACGGCCTGGCGAGCGCGTCTGTCCCAGAATGTTCTTGCTATTGTCGTCCCAAGTGGAAATATGCACAGGGTGTGGTACCTACCACAAACAAAACTATGCTTACTTTTACTTCAATGAATAAGTAATGGTAACTCTAATAAGGTTTCAGATATATCACCTCAACCCTATGAAGCTGAAGTAGTGGGAATGATCACTCAATTATCCTAATAAATGAATTTTTAGTTCCTTTTCATTGCCATTTATAACAGTTTTACATTTTCTTTTTCTTTCCTTTTTAAACTTATTTTGTAAACCTCTTTCTTTTCTATATGCAACCATGGACACATTCTCAGACCATATTTGCTTCTGTCCTATTTCTTTTATCTAATTTCCTTTTCATTTATCTTGGTTTTCATTATTGTTTTTATATTTATTTATAATTCCACATATATTTTCTTTACATCTTCTTAT